AGTAGTAGTAGTACTAACAGCAGTAGAACAAGACTAAGAACACGAATACAAAAAGGGACTCTAGAATCTTCATCGCCATATGATATTATCCGAAATATTTTGCTATGAGAAACATTGATAGTGTTTCCAAAGGCTGCGGCACATCCTCCAAGACCTCCTTCTTCTTTTCCTCGAGAGTTCGGGAAGCAGCATTCCGGTGATTTCAGACTGGCAGCGATCCGCCTCGATGGTCCGCAAATGCTTTTTGCAGTTGTTTGGCAGAGGCGAGAGCTTCACCTGTGCATAAGAAAGAACCTTCAAGCTCCTCTGGCCAAGATTGAATTGAAGGGACAGGGAGGAGGGCATGCGCTCACGGGATGAAGCAGTCATGTCTATATATATATATACATATACATATACATATACATATACATATACATATACATATACATAAATAAATATAACAATATATTTACACATATATATATATATATATACATATAAAATACACAGTAGCTCTAAGAGCATGAGCGCAGCGCTACTTCAGCAGCTTGCAGACCACATCGAGCTCCGTCTTCCGGCCTTCAGCCTGAACATGACCTTCCTCGCATCGAACAGCGGTCCCTGCAAGGAGGAAGGGTCTCAGCAATCCTGACTCCCAGAGGGTCCATATATACTACCCTTATGGAATCCTGACTTGCTTCGACAGTGCTTGAAGTTTTGGTGAATGAAGCACGGAAGAACGGAGAGCAGATTCGCTATCCAGGGGAGAAAATGAGAAGTTTCTGGGATGGAGCAGGCACATGACACCGAGTAAGGGCATGTTCGCTCTCTGTTTTTCACAGCTGCTAAGCCACGGCTCAGTGGCGCCTTGCTGGCATTCCGGATCTCCTCCATGACGGTCTTCATGATCTTGGCTTCGCCCTGCGGCACCCAATGCCGGGTCGTGACGTGCAACGAGCTGATCCCGCAGACTTTCATCGCTGACCACCTTGATTCCGTACTTACAACAGTCATGTGAAGCTTGTCCTCCTGGCATGCTTCGACCGCCGACTGCAGGTCTTTCTCCACTTGTTCTAACGCCTAGCGAGCAGGTTGCATGCGAGATTTTGCCGGGGCCCAATGCAGAACCCCACGTTACAGCTGATGTTTGTGAACGCATATTGGGCTTGATCTGATGGCTTTTGCCGCCGTGCCTGCAGCGAACCGGCTGAGCTCGCACCCGTTCCCGTACAGTTGCCTTGCAGCTCTGGGTCTCTCTCGGACACACCGAACTGCTCAAGCTGACACGCGGCCGCAATTGAGTCCAGCACTCAACACATTGGTAGCTTCTGCACAGGCTGCTGTGACCTTCAATGCAACCCAGAAGTTGGGAGTGCGCGCCGACTGTGCTCGCAAGAAAGTGTGGCTGCTCAGCTTGGATATGGAGACATCCCTCGGCTTCATACAACACAGACCCATGCGGTCGGCCTTGGCGATCAGATCGTCCACCATGGAGGATGCCTCGCCTCGTGCCAACCAAAGCATGTGCCAAGACGCTCATCCTTCGATGTCTGCTTCAGATGTCGCCTGTGATGGTGTCAGCAGTTATCTTCTCCTCCGCTTGTTGCCGCTTCTTCTTCAGCGCCTGCTAAACACAAGTTGAACTCTGCACCGTTTTGGAAGCGTAGCTCCAAACGCAGCAGGCCTCTAGCTGCCGTTCGTGCCTGTTCTTGGCCTTGCGCAGGGCCACGAGCCATCCATGTGCTTCAGGCATCAGGCGCTGCCCAACCTCGGCAACCTTGTTCTTCACATCGCTGTGGGCAACCTGCGCCTGTAGGAGGCTCGAAGCTGGCCAGACCCGCACAGCTGCCGGAATTCGACTAAGCTGGCCACTCGGGTTCCTCGCACCTGCCATCAGTGTCAGGTCGAGACTTGCACACAACACGAGCAGCAGCAACTTCTCTGTAAGCACTGCGTGCCCTCAGGTTCTGGAGCTGCTCCTTCAAGTCCTGCAGCGCAGCTGCGCCGCCTTAAGCACACACAGCTTGCAGCGACCCCGTGCTTAATGCTTCTATGGCACTGTTACTCTTACACCAACTCGTCAATGCGATTTTGGGCCCCAGACGAGTACTTCGCAGCTCATCGTGCTTCTGCTTGAGATAGGCCACAGTTTGGCTCACCTAGGTTTTGGCATATTAGGAATACTCCACAAGCTGTTGCCTGCACTTACTCTGTGTCTGGCCGACTCGTACGAGTCTGCAAGGGCCTCTTCTGCCGTCCTCACCTCGGCTCTCAGGAATGTCTCCAAAATGCCCGAAGTAAAGCTTAGACTATCCTGAGCCGCGGGCACAAGCCATGAAGGGTGTGTAGACCTGGCCATCGATCATACGCTGGCTTGAGAACCTCATCAACTGCGGGCCATCTGGATCCGTGCCTCCAAGTAAGTAGTGCCACCGGAGCCAGCAACGGTAACGAAACCTGCACGCAAAACAGAAGCCGGTGCTGAAACGATCTGGGTCTCGCTGTGCTGGCCTCGGGCGTCGTCCTTGGCCTTGCACTCGACCTTGGATTTGCGCATGAACTGCCAATGTGCGGTTTTTCCATCTGCCCATCAAGGATAAGCCAAACTCTGGACAGCAGCATTGCAGCTCATCGAACTAGAGACTCTAGAAATCTCACGCCTTCTTGACCTGTGCTCCTGCTGCTGTGCCAAGTACAGCCCACGACAGAATCTTCGTAAACCCCAGACTGACCAAATGCTGGAGCGCCAAACCTGAAATCTAAACCCGAAAAAGACGTGCCTAAGCCTTAATCCTAAACCCAAAAAAGTCCACGATACCGTATCCGCTTTAGCAGGCGCCCCCTTGCGGCCAAACTGCGCGAACCAGGCCACTCTGTGGCTCGCGTCGTGCAACCCCCAGGGCCTCCAAGACCTGTCTCCGAAAGCTTCAAGTGACTCATCATAGAACAGAATATAAACCTAAAACAAGAGAGGACAGATAGTTTCGCAACATACGTGTGCAGATGCTCTTTATCGTTCTTGAAACTCTGGGTGCTTTATGTAGAGGTCCTTGAAGTAAGGATCTTACTGCTGACGGCCTGTATAACTGCAGGGCGCACTGCTCGTATTCCTTGCCGGAGCACCGAGGGCTCATGTCTCAAGATGTGTCGTCGTTCGTAGGATACATCGTCAGGGCAAGACTCGCGATCCTTTGCATCACGGGACCATGCACCAGTGATCGAATGAAATGTGCCACCAAAAACGGCTTCACAGAACCGCTGCTCTCTCAAGTGTTTGGACTCCCACCAGGGGGCACAAGTCAGGCCTAAGCACGTCACAGTAGCGCTGATGTTGAAGAATGGAACAAATTGCATTCATGGTCCCCTGCATGGGGCTGGCTGTGCAAGTCTCGTGGACGCCTCTGCTGATTAGTCAGCCTTCCAGATCTACACCCGTGGCTGATTCAGCATCACACTGGGTCGAGTGCTTTGCTGCCTGACCCGGAAGCCCTGAACCCTACAGGGATTCGAAAACGTTTGGAAGAGCTGGAGCTTCAAATCGTCTGTCCCCCACCTGGATTTCAACAACCAATACTCCACACCCACCGGACTACAAAGAGCCTCGTTCACCTCCAGCTTCCGGACCGTCGTGCTGCCGACCTCTGGCAACATATCGATGTAAATACATAGTGCAAACATATGTATATATATATATATTTATTTATTTATTTATGATTCTATAAACATATGTAGATTTGCATATACATATACATATGCAAATAAACCTACATCTACATCTGCATACACATATACAGGCACATATACCTTTACGCATACATACACATTTACGTGTACATCTACATATACCTCTACATATACATCCATACATACATACATACATACATACATACATACATACATACATGCATACATTCACACATGTGAGAGAAGTGTACACATCTCGTTTAGCCGCATGAAGCTCAGTCAGAGGCTTCTCGTTCAGATGTCATCGTCACGACCGCCACCTCAAAAACTCAAGACTCCAGGCTAGAAGCTCAACAGAAATTAAGGAAATGAAAGGACCCAAACAAAGGACCCTAAATAGCAGGATCAACCCGCAAAGAGCGAGCCCAATTTCCTGAAGGCACCGCATGAAGACTGCAACGTTATCTTTGACTTGGAAGCTAGATTTCTTGCTCTTCGTCTGTAAGGTGCAGACACAGAGGTACGAGAGCTTCATATGCTCTTCGAACCTTAGTCGCTTGCAGCGCCCCGGCATCTAAGTCACCAGTTCTTTCGCTGCTGGTTCTTGCTATGGCTTTTGCCTTTGTGGTGGCTGCGAGTATTGTCAAGCTGGCTCTTGCTGCTGCTCCAGCACTCTAACCATATTTCGCCACATCGTGCGGACAGTGAAGCATGGCCCAGCTCCGACAAGCCCCGCACTTCTCCGGGGAGATGCCGGAGTCCTGCGACCGTCATACCGTTCTCGTCACAGCGGGGCCATTTCTTGCTTTTTACAAGACTGGCCTCTGCAGAGGCCTCGACGTCCATCTGCGCAACTGCAGCTGGGAGAAGCTCTTGCTCCTGCCGTTCTGGAAATGCTAGGGACAGGAAACAAACTACATGCCATGCTGCCATGTTGTGAATGCTATGTGGAAGGACTTCGCCGGGGTTCGATTGGATCTGTGTTTCACCTGCTGCCACCCCCCTAACAGCACAACAAGCTGAACATGGAGCCCGAACCGTTGCTGAGCGCTCCCAAACCGAGGATTCCTCCTCGGTACCGAGAAGGTCCGACAAGTCCTCGGCAATATACACAGACAGACAGAGAGAGAGAGGGAGAGAAAGGGAGAAATCATGACGAAACGCAGATATGTCATGCTGATTGCCTCGCACGGCAATTCAAGTGTGCAGGCTCAATGCTTGTAAGGACAGATCCGGCAGCTCTGGCTGCAAAGACTTCAGGGCCGTCACGATTCCTGCATCAGACTTCGTGAGAAATCCACACCGCACCATACTTCCGCAACATCCACTGGTTACCGTCAAACCTCTAAGCCCCTAAACCTAAATGCCCTAAACCCCTAAACCCTGAAACTCTCAAATCCTGTTATTTTCCCGGGCACTCGAAACTAAACCGGTAAACCCTGAATCCCTAAACCTTCAGCACCAGTAACACAGTTTTTCCAACTCTCCGCACCCCCTGCGAGCGGATCCTGCCGGCATCAAATGGTCGCAGCCGTCGGTCTCTCCAGAAGCTTTGGCCTGCAGCGCTTTGGAGCTTAGGGTTTAGGGTTTAGGGTTTAAGGTTTAGGGTTCTGAGCCAAACGAGGTCTCTCAGTACTCGTTCCCACTGCGGGTGGGAACAGGGCAGTACAAACGGGATAGAGGTTGGGCTAGGAACAAGGGGGGTTCACGGACGCTGTAGTTTTGTCTAAGCACGCCGCAAAGTGGCCAGGCAGCATTGTGCCAAGCAGACAGCTGGCTTCTGAGTTTCGAGGATACCGAGCGCACGGTCAACAAGGGTTTTTAGGACTTTAGGTTTAGGTTGTTGCCTCCTGCATTGCCGAGCGAATCGCTAAGCAGAGAAGTTGATAAGTCTGAAGTTTCAGTCAAGTGAATTGACACGCGTTGTCCCACTTCCACGAAAAAGCCGAGGGGTTTTCCCTCTCGCATAAAGCCGAGGGTTTTAGGTGTTAGGGTTAGTCGGAGATAAAGAGAGGAAGCTGAGGTCGTTTCCAGTTCTGCAAAAAGCGCCGAAGGAGTCTTGGAAGTTGCCGCTGCATGCCGTCGCAACCTGATCTGCTGGCTTTGGGGAACAAGTCTAGAATTCGGGGAACAGTACTTCCACCAAGCTGCGACACCTTGCGCAAGAGGGTCCGAGACGCGTGCACTTCTAGCAAGTGGCCCAGGCGAACCAGTGCCTGCAACTCCTGGCACAAAGATTTTCTGAAGTACTGCATCACATGTCTGTCGACTCGCAGTTTCTCTGACAGTTGCGGTCACCTGCCCACCGCTAGCAGTGAACATCGTTGCAGCTTCGTGGAGCTTCTCCAACCTGAGCCGTGGCTCTGCAGGCCACTCCATCCGCTCCCGCTCCGCACTCGCTTACGTTCTGTGCTGTTGTAAGCGAATGTAAGCGAGGAACTTGGCATCGAGTACTTTGAACATCTCGCTTGCTTCCTGCATCCTGGCAGTGGGACAAAATCACATGGAAGTCTCAACGTCAGACAGGAGCTCCTGGCGGCTGAAGTGCACATGCCACTCACGCTCAGGATGCTTTGAAAAGACATCGCGACTGCAGCTGAGCAAGCGTGTCGTGGCGGCAGGCAAGTCGCTACGAAGCGGTGTTCTTTGTCGTTTGCATCTTTCCTGCCGCCAACATCACACGTTTCGAAGCTGCACAGCTGGGCTGGTCCCCGGCCTCTGCTCGTCCAGCTTGGTCTGCAGGGGCGCGAGCTTCGCAAACATCTCCTCGGAGCAGTGGGGCACAACAGCTGTCGAGGAGTGCTGTCCCAGAACCGCCTGAAACTCCTTCAGAACCTCGGAGGTGTCTGTTGTCACCTGAGGAGGGAGTCGGAGTGACAAAAAAAAGGGGGCCGAGGGGGGGGGGGGGTTCTGATCGCCGAGGCAAGGACTCCATCGGCCTTGGCCTTCTGCAACCTGCAAAGACCACTGCAGTTATGGTTATTATAGTAATTAATATTATTATGTTTATTACTGTAGTAAATATTACGATTATTAATATATTAATAATGATACTAATAATAACAATAATACCAATAGTAATAATATTAATTCTGCAGCGGCTGCAGCGCAACTACCGACCTTCACTTTGCCGCTTGGCACTCTCTGGGAGCCCCACCGCTCGACCAAAGGGACTCGGGCAGCTTGGATAGCCGTCGTGGCCTTCCAAGAGGAAAACAACAACTTGCATTATCATTATTAATAGTATATGATATATAATGATTATTATGTACTGTTTCTTGTCCATCAGTGACGCCCCAAGCTCCAAGCGACCCGAAGAGGTGAGAGGCCTCTGTCTGTGCTGCGGCAGCTTTTGAGAGGACGGACTGCATCTGCAGGGGCTCGGAATCCTGCGAGCCCTTCATCTCTCCAGCGCTTGAATGGGTTGGGACTCTCGAGCTTGAGATCCTACACCCCAACTTGACTTTGCCTGGTCTAGGGTGCTAGGATAGAAATAGACCCCGAACGGCGCCCCGCCCTGTCCTCAGCCAGGTCCATCAAGGCCTGAAAGGCTTCCTTCGAGGCTTCAACCTGTGCAGAGCCACTCCAACGCGGTACAATAACGACTGACTTCTGCTCAGATGTGCTTGCCCAATGGGGACCGCCTTACCACCACTCGTCCCCCTCGCCCTACTGGCAGCATGTCCGTTTGCACTGTCCGAGCAGCCCCGAAACAACAGGACCATTCCTAAAGCCTACAACCACTCACGAGCTCTCAGCTGGGCATGACTCACTCGCTCACTACAGCCTTTTTGGCACACTGTATTGTAGAGTATGCAATCCAGGATTCCTACAGCACAACAGGTCGCTCTGGTTGGCACTTGCTCGCTAGAACGCGCCTCTTTGAAAAACCGTGCACCAACGGTCACAAACATATCGTTCAATTACAGTGCTTGTTCCGGGCTTGAGACGCAGTGGCCTCAGCCTGCTGAACGTTCATCTGTCCACCATTCACAAACGATGTCCCGTGCTGCCAGCCTGCAGCTTCAGTAGCAAACCCTGGAGTGCAGCTGTAGCTGCCTGGAGTTTGGCCTTTTTGCATGTCAGCTTCTCCGAGCCAGGTGGATGCTTGTAGCCCTGAGCCTTAAGTTGGGCTCGATACTCTCGAATCCGTGCCTGCTTTACAGGAAGAAAGTCCGGCCGTTGCTGCTGTGCAGCAAGGCTTTCTGTGAAGCCAGTCGGGGGGCCCTGAGCCCAAGCCGTCCAGTCGCATTCCGGGGCAGCAAGGCCTTCTGTGAAGCCGGTCAAATAATCCTGAGTCCAAGCTGTCCAGTCGCATTCCTCTGCAGCAGAACTTCCTGTCAAGCCGGTCGGAGGTCCCTCAGCTTGTTGCCCGTCCCCTCCGGAGCAGCCATGAACTCCGGAACAGGATGCCACCTCATCTATCGGAAGGTCTTGGCCAGGCCGTTTTTCAATGGCAGCCAAGAGCCGATATTATCGCTTGACGGGGCCCCACCTCCGATGGTTGGCACCTATGGAGACGTGTTGCTTGCCTTCTCAAATGCTGCAGCCGGGAGCAACTCAGTAGCACTCGCACTCGTGTGCACCTGCGGCTCCTCGTGCTCCTTGGCCGCACCCCAATGAAGACTCTGCGGCATCGAGCTCTTCCCACTCGAAAAGAACAGTCGAAGGGCTGGGGTCCCTGAAGGCCAAAAGGCTCCAGTCGACATACGAAGTTTGCGGCATGGCTTCCCCAGTCTTCTGGAGCCAGAAAGCTTGAGCCACTGAATTCTTGCAATCAGGATTCCTAGATCCCTTAGCTTATCATGTGTGCTTTCGCTCAGCCATTGCCATTCCCCTCACCTCCTCCCAACGGAGATTGGACAACCAAAGCAAGGAAACTGAAGAAGTGCTCATCAGCGGACAACGTGGCCTTGGCTTCCGCCAGCTCGATACTTTGAGCCATGGCCTGTGACGGGTTTTGGCTCTCGCAGCGACTCTGTGGGCGAGGATGGTTCAAATCGGAAAGCCAGGACGTTGGCTGCAAGTCGGCGGGGTGTGCACTGACTCGCCAGCACGGCAAGTTTACAGTAGGGGAAGCCCAACTATCAAGCCTAGGTACAAGGTTAGGGTTTAGGCAATCTCTGACACATGCAAACACATTTTCACGCGGGCGTGTCAGGGTTCTCGGCGCTCTGGTTGCTGTTGATGAAGTCGACATATCGTTCACACTGAGCAGGATCAGCCAGCAAACTGTCAAGATGAGTCATGGTCTGAATATCGGAATCCAGTCCTACTTCACTCTTGGGGCTGAAGAAAAGCAAATGCCTCGGGGCAACTTTGAAGCAATGACCATGCTGTACCAACCACAAGGACAGCGCATGGTCTACCTGCCCACCTACCGGGAAAGCTTCGTGCAAAAGCCTTGCAGCAGCCTCCTTCTTCACGGCCCATGCATACAGCCCATAGAGCGGGCTGTACATGCGAAGCACTGGCACCTCTGCCGAAAGTGCCCCCCTCTCCACGCAACCACGAAAGTCGTCTACAGGGCCACGCATCTCGTCAATTTGAACTTCAAAGAGAGCTCTCATGTGCTCCTGCTCAGTGTCTTTTCCCCCCGGCCCATGTCCATCAAGGATGCCACCATGGTAGCCCAGAAACAAGGCATCCCAGTTGGAGGGCAAGCGTTGTATCGCCTTTTGGATCACATCGTGAACGGCAGGCACCACTGCCTGCAGATCGTCTTCCATGATGAGTCCCCACTCGGCAGTCGGGTGTTCCGCTACCGTCCGCAGGGCCTTGTGGTGGGACATTGCACATGCAATTCCCCCAGCTGTCAAGTGATCATGGAATTTCACGAGCTCGCCATCTTTATGTACGATCGTATGTGCGCCGATCCTTTGAGCCTCCTGCGCCACTTGGAGAGCCTCGGGCGTGATGTACTGTAGCATCTCTGGACTCTCGAGGTCCAGCACCCGTCCGTCGATGGCATCAACTCGGAGGAGCCGTGACAGAATGGCCGGGTTCCCTTCGGCCAAGACGTGGGCCAACTGTAGGCGTCGGTCTGCACGCCTGCTCAGATTGATAAAGACCGCGCACCAGCTCTGTGGAATCTCCAAGCTCCCGCGGCTCCCGGGCGGGCCAGGCCCAGGCTCTGCGACTCTTCGTGCCGCCGCCCGGAAGGCCCGGAAGGCTCCGCAGCGGCGTGGCTTCCGAGCCAAGGCAGATGCGATGGACACGAAGACGAAGGGCACTGCGTCCAGCCAGACCGGCCAGACCGGGCGAAGGCGAACACGCTCAGCAAGCCGAAATCCAGGCCCGCCGCGAGGCCATCGCACCCTCTCAGTCTGCTGGCACGCGAGCATGCTCACCCAGACAGAAAGAAGAAGAGAGAACAAAAAGGGACTGCTTCATGTAAGGTTATGCTTTGCATGCTCCTCCCCCACTCTTGCGCACTTGGCATGGATTTGTTGAGCCCTTAGTTCGGTCGTTTGGCTAGCATGGCAAAGCTTCCTATGCGGCTCGAATGGGCTGCAGCCATGAGGGAGTGCCACGCATCTCTGCGCAATGCAGATCGAAGTTCAGCTCGTGCACGCGGCGGCCTTTCTTGCCTTGGCATACTGCCTGTCAGTGCTTCCTCTGCGGACCTGACCGAGCAAAACGAAGGCAACGGACGCCGAAACAGCCGCGAGTTCTACTGCTGTTTTGCCCTCGCTTGGAACTAGTGCATCATCTCATTAGCAGCGCTGTCAAACATAGCGACAAGCGTGCCTCAGCTAATCGCCGCATGGCCGCATCCAAGCGCTTTTGAAGCGCCTGCCACCGCATCAGTTTCAACTTTCTAACTAATCAAGAGGCAAGCAGCCGCCCCATCGCCAATCACTACGAGAATGTGCTGTTCGGTTGCGAGTTTCGTGGCCAAGCAAGCTCAACGACCATACTGAGAGTGTCGGATGCTCGGTGCGGCACATCCAGCTGCTCCAAGCACGCAGCCTGGCACTTTATGTCAATCATTGTCAACCACGGCAGAGCACTCTGTGCATCTGCTCTATGATATGCATGCATGTATGTTAAGACACTGAGCCCGGTTTTTTGCTGCCAGCTTCGAGACTGCTGATCCGCGGCGCGCTGCGGTCAAGTCAGCTGGAAGCTGTCCGCTGAAGGCCTCCTGGTGCCTTTGGGCCTTCAGCGGGGCTGGCGCTGCATGTCGGGCTTCTGATGCACCTCTGGACGGTGACAGGAGCTGGAGCACTTCCTGACGGGTCAGCTTGGGAGGCCTCCATCTTGTCAGTACATGGGTCCCATGGGCATGGGTGCCATTCCTGGGCATGGGCCCATGGGCGAGGGCCTCTGCGCGAAGGGTGGAGGTGGAGGGGCAGGGGCAACCGGCAGATGTGCATGCTTGCAGGAGTCGCCATATCGGCACCATCCAGACTTCTGAAAGAAGCCGCAGATCTCCTTAGGCCCGCCGGCATCTCGCATGCCAGGATTTCTGTCAAAGCCCTCGGCTGTCTTGGTCTCATTGAGCTCTGGCCCAGGAGAGACGAAGCTGGTCTCCACCATAATGGCTTGACTACAAACCTGAAGTACGAGAAGGGCATCACTGCATTCTAGAGAGAAAAGCTAGGGTAGCTGTGTTCAACACCTCTCAGCTCCGAGACTAGCACCGGCACGTTCGACCCGTCCAGGGGTGCCCGCGCAAAGGCTGCAGGCATCGATGCAAGGTAACAGTTGAAAGCGACGAATGTACCTGACATCTGATAATTTTTAGCACTGATAATTACGGTGAGCCAGTTGCAAAACCCTGCGCGCCTGTCGTCAGGGTGACGGCCAAGGACGGGCTGACGTACACTGTGCGCCCAAAGACTTGGTTGACCTGATGGCAACTCCGGTCGGCGAGTGCCATGGCCGAAGCGACAAATTTACGCAGCTGTGCCTCGGCACACTCGATCAAACCAGCTTGTCGCCCACACATGTCGGCAGGCAAGAGCTTGAAGTTGCCTTAGGGCAGCAAGCTGAAAGTTCTTCTTTCATGGCGAAGCCGGCAAGCAGGTGGAGCCAAGATGCCGGTATGCGCATAGCTACTCCTCGCTGATATGCCTGACGCAACTGTGAGGCATTCTGCAGGCCCAACTCTCGGCACTTGCATCGACTCCAGCTAAAGCAAGCGGCGGATCAGGGGCGAAGAAGCCTGGGGTTGTCCCTTTGGAGACCAGTGCAGAGGGAACGCCAGGGTGTCACCAACGCAGGCTTTGCCGCGCTCCAGGACATCTTTGAAAGCATAAATGTCTTGCTTGCCTATGTCGGCCTGGCCGATGAAAGCAGCAAGGGGAACTGAAGAGTTAGTCACTTTTGCTGAAAGCGGTAGACTGCAGCCTCCGCATCTTGGGAGTGTATGTAGCCGCACTTTCGCTGGGCATCGAAATGCTTCAGTATGCCAGTGTAGACTTTCCTAGGCCCAGCTGACAACACGAGCTTGCCGTGCAAGTTCTTCTTGCAAGGAGATCCGAAAGCGAAGCCGGCAGGTCTGCATGCATGCTTGCAACTAAGCACTACAGTGCGGGAGAGAGAAAGCGGCAGAACGAGAGACAGAGAGAGGGAGAGGGAACGGGAGAGGGAGAGAGAGAGAGGGACAGAGAGAGAGAGAGAGACAGAGAGAGAGAGAGAGACAGAGGGTCATCCAAGCAAAAGCAAACAGAGGTGAGGGAGAGGGAGGGCGTGCGCTGAGTCTCGTAGTGTTCGCCACAGTGCTCTTCTCCTGGTCGACGCTCCAATGGATGCTACGGTTGATGCGAAAAGCAATCCGAACCTTCGAGTGGTCTCTCCATTGAAAGAGCTCAATGAACCTTCCACCGATTGTTTGCCTTTGCTTCTCCTGCTGCAAGGATTGGTTCGATCACAACGAACTGACTGTGTAACAGAATGTAACAGCGAGGCTGCAAGGGCAGAAACAAAGACGAATGGGTCCTGCATGGCCTTCTTTGCCACATCTCTACTCTGGAAGACTACCTGACAGGTCGAGCGAGTGGCAACTTTGGTGGGTTCTCAAGCAGGCCGCTGGTCTCTACAAGCCCTCAAGATGGGGGCAATATAGTACCCCAAATAATAGGATCCTTATTATAAGGACCCCAAAACCCCAATGTTTGGAAACTCCCAGATAGGCATCTCACAGCTGCATGTGGCCAGGAGGCCCAAGCATGACCATCTTGTCGACCAGATTCGGTGACACACATCGTCACATCTCTCTCACTTACCCCATACCTGGCACCAGGCACAGCGAATCAAGAATCCTCTGCTGCAGATGAACGCTCCAAACCTTTGGCTCTAAACCCTGAACTCTTTTTTTGCATCCAGGCCTATTGCAACTGCCGGGTAAACCCTGAACTCTAAACCCTTAAACCATAAATCCTAAACTAGACCCCAGCGGCTCGTGCAAGAACTGTGCGACTTCCGGCGGCCCGGCAGACCAAGGCAGCCCCCGCAAGCGGAGCACGTCCCCGCCTTCCCACAGAGGACAGGAGGCTGAGGGGGTTTTTGCGCTCTCGCAACTCGGACTTGCCAGTGCGTAGTCGGACTACGTGACAAGTCTCGGTCGCCAGGGCTGTGCACTCCTAGGTGCTGTAGTGATACGTGATTGCACAGCTCGTGTCGCGAGCCCCTCGGTCCCTTTGTTTCTAGCTCAACCGACTATTCCAACTAGTGATTTGTGGATCGTTGATCTGTGACTGGACGACAAACTGGGGTCCCCTCTACCCAAGCCCCTCCAACTGGAGCATCGCGCCTTGAGGTGCCAACGGCGCCTTTTTCCGGTCCACCTTGTCGCCTCTCTCCCCCTTGTTATCCTTCTCCTTGCTTCTGTCCACCTTAATAGTCGGGGCTCCCGACATACGCAGACTGTTCCGGGCGCTGCCGTCAGGGTGCGACCATGGCTTGCGCTTCCTTCAGCTGCTGAGAGAGATCTGGGGCTGATGAAGACGGTGGTAGAGCAAAGGACGGGAAAGCGATGCCTTGGCCGACGAAATCAAGAGAAGCGGAAATGCCCAACTGGCCTATGCCCATGCTCCCCCTGGCCTGCCCACGCGGAGGCATCGAAGCCGGGCATAGCGGACATCCTTGGCCCGGTAAGCGGCAGCTCCCGATGAGTCCTGATGCCTCTGCGCTTCCGAGCGGCAGCGATGCGGCTGCCATGTCGAAGGCCGCGGTGCCGGGCATCGCCTGGGTCAAGGCGCTCGGGATGCCTCGGCTGAGCATCCGTTAACTGACCAGAATTCTGCCTTCAGGGTGTGCGAACCAGCTGCCGGGAATGGCAGCAGCTCCTTGTGGTGGAACTGCACCAGGCGCGCCGACCGCCGCATCCAGCTCATTCCTGGGAATCGATGTCTCGATTGCTGTTTTGTCAGCAGCGATGTTCCGCGAGTGCGGCTCGTGGCTAGCATTGCCAGATGAGTCGACATGTCGCTGCAAGTCCCCGAAGCCGCAAGGTAACGAGTGCTCTGACTGCATCTGGGGGATCATATGGCGTGCAAAGCCGATGCCGGGCGCAGTGGCGGCCGCTTCAAGGCTCGGCACAGAACTTGTCGAAACGGAAGCTGGTTGTGGCAAAAGCTGGGCGTTGCGTCTGGCTTAGTGTGCGTGCTTGTGTGTGTGTGTGACTGTCATGAAGCTTGCAGATTGCTGTAGAACTCCAGATCTAAGGCTTGCAGAAAGTTGTCCTCCTCTCTCTAGTCGTTCTAGTCGTTAGTCATTCCCGTCGTTTCAGCCGAGCCATGACATGAAAGCTGCAACTTTCAAAGAACCAAATAGACACGGCAGCAGACTGGATCACTAGCCACAAAATCGAAGATCGGACCAGGATGGCCGGGGATCGCGAAACACGAAGCAGCAGAGCTCGACACAGTCACTGCCACACGCCAGTTGTACTGGCGCATTTCCTGGCAAGCGCTTTGCCTCGGAATTGCAGACAGCACCCCTCAAGCCACCTCTTTTTCTGATCGCCTGCTTTCACTTGCTATGCCGATCTAAGTATCCGGCCGAGATTCGCTTCACGGCCAGTGTTGTCTTAGCATTGCCTTCAAGGCCCAGGGCCCAGAGGAGACAGGAAAAGGAGGGGCCATAATAATTAGAATAGGGTTTTGGGGGGTTCCTTATTATAATTATAGTATAATAATACCCCCCCCCAAACCCTATTCTAGTTTGGCAGTTCCTTATTATAATTATAGTATAATAAGAATACCCGCCCCCCAAACCCTATCCCTATTCGAGTTTGGCAGAGTCCAAAACCTCAGAAAACCCTGGGCTGGGCTCCCGGCTCAGTTGCCGGCTCGCCGCCTGCCAGGGCCCCCACTTTGTAAAAGACCGGTCAAGATCTCCCCAGGCTTGTCCCCTAAACCCTAAACCCTAAACCCTAAACCCTACATCCTAAGGTCATTTCTTTTTGGACATCCCTTTTCCCAAATACAGCATGCGTGACGTCTGGGAAGGCGGTTCCCGCTGGAGGTGTCTCGCACAAGGCCGGCAAGGCTCCGCATAGTTCTGTCTCCGCTGCAACTACAAGAGCGACCAGGAGAGATGAGCTGAGTTCACCGTGTTTAGGGTTGAGGTTTTAGGGCCTCGGGTTAAGGGTTTGGCCTGCGCTGTGGCATTCATCGCCTTGGGCTTCAGCAAGTCGACCCACGATCAGCCCCACAAGCCCTGATCTCCGGGCACCCTGCCGCAAGAGCTTCCTCCAGGGGCGACGCCGCCGCTTCCTCTCCGTCCTGTCTGCCATCCACCCTTCTTTCTTGCTGCATGCACTTTACACTTTTCTGGAGGTTGTCTTGGGCATCGCACATCGTAAGACCATTCCACAGACATCTGAAAAGACACCAAACATTTTGCAGCCATCCTCTTCGGCTTTGATCTCTTCGTCTTTCACTTTCTCCTCTTCCTTGGTGTCGTCGGCTTCATTCTTTTCCCCATCATCAGCCTTGCCATCATCAGTCGTCTTTTCACCTGGTCGCAGGAAGAAGAGCCGTCCACGAGCCCTTGACAGCACGGATACCGCTAGGGAGCAGGCCGGATGATTTGCCTGGCTTCTTGTCCTCCGTCACTACAAGCTTGCATCTCCCTAAATCTGCAGACTTGTCCTGAAGCCTAAACCCTAAACCCCTTTTGCATCCGGGCTTGTGAAGTCGGCCGGGGAAGGTGACAGGCAGCAACGGAATCGCGCCAA